CTTCCTGGGAAAGCTGGAGGCGAATTGCTCATTCCTTGGCCTCTTGCAAGGATTTCCGACCGCTGCAATGCTGTTGTACAACAGTTAAACTGTTGTTTAACTTTGGGCTGCTGGGCTCGGCAGCTGAGTTGGGTTAATACCCTCTACTGGGCCAAACCCGGATTGACTGGCTGGATTATGGCTGTTGTGGAAGCCCAGCTCTGGTTTTAATACATTGTGTGAATCAGGCTGTCCCTTTTAAGTTATCATTTCTTTGTCGGCTTGGGCGCAGCAGGTGCTACAGAAGCTCTGTTCTGTTACCAGAAGTTGAGAGTTTAGCATATTGTGGGAATGCAGCCAGTATGTTTGGAAGGGAAAGGTTCTGTCCTCAGGCAGGATGCAGGGTTTGCTGGAAGAGCCCGCATGGGCAGGAGGGGACCTGAGGCTGTTCTTGGACTCCTTTTAAGGGGCTCAGGCATAAGGATGATCCCATGGCACCTTCCGCTTCAGAGCTTAATAATTGTATGTATTTCCCCCCATTTTATCCTCACAGTGACTGTAGGAGGTTGTTAAAGAGATGAAATGACTGCTCTGTCTGTTGCCCAACAAGGACAGGATCGGATCTTGCTATTACCAGTCCAGCAAGCGCTCTTGCAACTGTACCAAAAAAAAGAAAGAAATCACTTCTGCTTTATTTAGTACATCCCATCATGTGTTTTTTTTTTTCCAGGAAACTCTAGACCTCTTGAGTGTCATCCCCAGCTAGCATGGCGTAAGACGCTAGGTTAGAAGGTTGCTCAGTGTTGCAAGCGGGTCTGTCCTTTCCGTCGTTTTTAAAGTCTCACAAACCACCTGCGAGGTAGGCTAAGCAGAGATCAAGACTGGCTTGATGGATTCCAGAGCCTCTGCATTCCTAACCACCCCTCTGCCCTTGCTGGCAACCTTTTTGGCATCTCCCTAAAAGTGATTCTTTTCCAAACATGATTCTTGCAGAGTTGTCTTTAGCAAGATTTATTGAGAGAAAAGGGAGAGTGTTAGAAATATTCCAGCAACTGAACTTGTTCCCAATGAGAACCTATGTCAGTGTTTCTCAACCTTGGCAACTTGAAGATGTGTGGACTTCAACTCCCAGAATTCCCCAGCCAGCCAGCCAATTCTGGGAGTTGAAGTCCACACATGGCAACTTGAAGATGTGTGGACTTCAACTCCCAGAATTCCCCAGCCAGCCAGCCAATTCTGGGAGTTGAAGTCCACACATGGCAACTTGAAGATGTGTGGACTTCAACTCCCAGAATTCCCCAGCCAGCCAGCCAATTCTGGGAGTTGAAGTCCACACATGGCAACTTGAAGATGTGTGGACTTCAACTCCCAGAATTCCCCAGCCAGCCAGCCAATTCTGGGAGTTGAAGTCCACACATCTTCAAGTTGCCAAGGTTGAGAAACACTGACTTGTGTTATCGCCATGTATGTTACAACAGAGTTTCTGATTCTCCTAATTGTGGTTCTGCGACAAGGCAGGTCTTTCCACTGATCACAGGACAGCTGTTTGCATAATGGTCTCCTGAAACTTCATCAGAATCAAATGTTATACGGGCTGAGGGGGTTAGGTTTGATTATGACCCACAAAGGGTTGTTGTGAGCAAGGGCCAAAATGAGTAACTTGAGGTTACAGGGCCCCATGTACCCCTGCAGTGTAACCTCCAAAGACCTCAACGTGTGCTACCAAATTGTAATCTCAGTGGGATAAAGGGGGGTAAAATGATTCAGTGGATGACTGTAAGGTAACTGTTTGAGGTATATTTAGTTGGAATGAAATTTACATGTAAATGAAGTTGAAGTATTTCTGGGGGTGGGGGAGGTTTCCTGGCTCTGGCACTTCTCAGAGGCCTAATGCAGCCCTGGGCCTCGAAGCTGCAGTGTCACCTCCACAGTAAATGATTTACTGGTAGGATTGCTGCTGCTGGAACTTCGCTCTTGACACGTCTTCTCCCTTCCTTCTTCCTCCATAGGCTCGGCTCAGATTCCCCATTGATTACCCGTATTCGCCACCTGCCTTCAGATTCCTGACCAAAATGTGGCATCCCAACATATATGAGGTATGCGGTTGTGCCCGGGCTGGGCACGAGCCAGATGTCACCTGTGGTCTTCTCTTGCAAAGTGGATAAAGGATCTTGGTTCCTTTGGCTCTCTTATGCCCAAGTAGCATACCAGAATGCCTAATCAGTATTCGTTTCAGTCTCTCTCGTTAGGCCTTTCGGTGGCCGGGGGGGGGGGGGACCCAAATTTTGCCCTGCGCATAGTACCGTCCTTGGGCAGGGTCTCCCAGCAGGCTTATCTAGCACCATGGTAAACACTTCAACTTTCTGCCATGGACCACTGAGTGGTTGGAAGTTCCCATCTGCCATCTTAATTTCCTACAACGCCCTAGAGAAGAATACGGGGGGATTGTGGGAAATGGAACTGGCAGCTTCTTGGATACTGGGCTTGAATGTCTTTTTTTTTTCCCTCCAAAGTGTTTTGAAGCTGACTTCACATTTTGCAATGAGATAATCAGCACAGAGGTCTATGGATTCTTAGTTCTGGTCTTCAAACTGAATTCCCAGCTCCTTGATTTCTGACCCGCTTTGATCAGAGATCAGTTGCTGGATTTCTGAGTTCCCATGAGCAGAATTTTGCTCTCTCCAAATGTACAGGTGAAGGTAATTTAGCGCTCACCTAGCAGCTGTAGGTAGGAAGGAATTGCGTGCAGGTAAATGTATGTGGAGCTACAGTGATCCTACCAGCCCGACCAAGCCAGTGAAAATAATCCACTTGCCAGCTAGTAAGTTCTCTGGATACAAAGCTGTTGCAGCTGCTTTCATGGCTTCTTAAAAAAGATGCTTCTGGTAATGGTGGTTTTCTTGTTTTCCCCTTTTAATGCGGTTAGCTATTTCTTAAGCAGCTTTAGGCAACCAGATGCCTTCCCAAGTCCGACACTCATGAAGGGCACCAGCCTAGAGAAAGTGGCTTGAAGATGTTCTGGACAATCAGTGAAATTGCAAAACAAGACAAGCTGATACTTTCCAATTTATGAGCCGAGCCAACTTGGGGGAAAAGGTGGTGTTTTAGCAGAAAGGGCAGGGTAGAAATAGTAATAACGAAAATGCAGTGATTTATTTATCACATTCTTAGGACTTTGAGGGTCATGATAGGGATTTTCTCCAGGTACACATACTCCAAAATATTCTCACAGCAATGCTGCCAGGCCTGCCCAGAGAACTTGGTGGGAAATGTAGGGATTGAATGTGCCTCCCATCCTCCAGGCCCATGTGCCTCTTCCCCTATAAGCAGTTGAGAGAGGAAAAGTGGCCTGGTGGGCCCAGCCTCATAGAAAATAAATAAATAAATAAATAAATAAATAAATAAATAAATAAATAAATAGCAGATTGCTGGTTTGTGGCCATATACGGGCTGAGTTCACACAAGGTGCTAGGCTAAAATTTAATAAAAATAAATAAATAAATAAATAAATAAAATGCAGATTGCTGGTTTGTGGCCTAGCCTGACATGCAGATGCATCCACTGAGAACACAAAGGGAGATATCAAGCTTTCCAGCCCCTGCAGCTATCAACTGTGTGGCCACTGTGGGGACTGTTACTCCAGCATTAAACCCCCCAGAATTTAGGGTCAGGATTTCCACAATTCTCAGTGAAGCACTCCCTCAAGATTCAAGGTACTTGTTCAAGCAGATGGGAGAATCCCTACACTCTTCATCTTGCCTAGTGTTAGTTAGAACAGTGTTTTTCAAACTTGGCAACTTTAACATGGGTGGACGTCAACTCCCAGAAGTCTGGGAGTTGGAGTCCACCCATCTCAAAGTTGGCTGGGGAATTCTGGGAGTTGAAATCCACACATCTTAAAGATGCCAAGTTTGAAAAATACTGATCTAGACGGAGGCAATACAGTAGTCCTGATCTTTACTTACTAATGGGGGGGGGGTTAAAATCCCGTCTTTAAAGATGTGCTGGTGGGATTAGTTCATTATACACTATTGGGGACATCAGCATCGGCTTACTTCCCACCCCCCTTCAAGATAATATACTTGAAGGCTGAAGTATAATTTAAAATGTAAGTCCACAAAATGTTGGCTCTTTCCCACCCCACCACCACTTCTGCAGAGGGGAGAGATCCCACCACACCGTCCCCTGCAAAGTTCTCTGCACATCCCCCAAAGCCAAGAGCAGACCCTCTCCCAGGGAACAGATAGCCCAAATCTTGTTTCCTTTGCACCAGGTGGGGCCCAAATCAAGACAGGGTCTTCCCTTTTAGAAACATCTTTGCAAGCTAAACCTTTGATCAATAATGAGTCATGATCTCCACACCCACCTGCATTATCTAGAAGTAGTAACCAGATTTTGCAGCTGCCAACAACTGAATCTGCATTAGCTTACAATACCATAATGTATTATTGAATATATTATTTTAAAATATATTATTAGCTGCCTTGGATTCTCTCTAGGCAAAGGAAAGCTGGCTGGGCTCACACTTAAACACTAGACCAGGCAGGAGCATGGTTGGGTAAATTTGGGGTCTGAGCATTGTGAGAACCTGGCCATTCTCTTAGCACACTGTATAACCGAGTCCATCCCCTTAAGCCATCATATGGTATATTTCTTTGGCCACTGTATGTTCTGTGAACATATCCATTTTTTTCACATCAGGTAGATCATCTGGATTTAAAATTAATGTTGAGTGAACTCAGCCTGTGTGTGTGAGTGTGTATAGTAGACACATATAATTTATATATTTCAGACAGGAGATGTTTGCATTTCAATTCTACATCCTCCAGTGGATGACCCACAGAGTGGAGAGCTACCTTCAGAAAGGTGGAACCCTACTCAGAATGTAAGGTGAGTTTTCTTTCCTCTTTCCTTCTCCCTCCTCAGCCACATTTAAAAATATTTACAAAAAAATAGATCCTTCAGTTTGCTATGGAACAGTACTCCAACCAAGAAAAATGGGACATTAGTAACTGGAATGCAACTGCAGAAATGAAAACAGTGCCAAGATCTAGCCACGTTTTTTCCCAATTTAAGCCCCATTTAGTTTAATATGTTAATGAAACACGTAAAGCAGAAGGGCGCAACATTTATGGGCCAAGGGTCCAAAGTCCCTTGGGTTTGTACATTGTGCAAGTGGTCACAATCCAGAATCCGAGCAGGGCTAGGACAAAATCTAAATTTGATTTAACTTACATTTACATGCCCTTACAATTAAGATGCATTAATTTTCTACTGTTACTAAGATTCATCCCTGTGTTTTGAATAGTTTTCCCCTCCTGAAAATTATAATTTGATTACCACTTTTGGTGGGGAACTGAGGCCCAGGTACTGGATGTCTATTACGCCCTGCATGCAGCAACACCAAACTCTGTTCTTTATGCACAGAAGGTGTATGTACTCTCTGTCGTAGAAACCAGAATTATTTCCACTTAGTAGGTGTAGAGGGAAGAGGGAATGGCCTTGAGGGACAGGAGGAAGAGCTGCTACCAAGAGAATGGTCAAATGAAAGAAGACTGAGTCCAGGGCAGGAATGTAATCTGAGTGCCTCCCTAATTCACTAAAAAAAGATGAGCGAGAGGAAAGCACATTTGGACTTCCAAGATTCTGTTACTCTAGCTTTACAATAAAAACACCACTGACCTAAATGACATTGGATTCCTAGTCTGGTCTACCTTGAAGGACCGACAGTAGCTAAGGGCTGCTGGCTTATGGGTTCATTACCTAAGGAATTTTTGGTGCACGCAGTATTGTCACAACCTCCCGTAAGCCGCCTTCACTTCCTTTCGTTGAAGGGGATATGTGCCTTCAAAGTTAAGGCCGAACTATAGGTGATTGATCCCCAACTCCAATGCTGTCTGAGCATTTATGATTCCTAACCCATGAGGCAGGTCTTCCTCTAGGGCAGACTCATTCCTGTTTGCAGTTCCTCCATGGTTCCCCTTTCAGTAAACATTTTTATGAAAGTAGGACGTTTGCAGATCTGACCAAGGGATCCTACCAGCTTTACCAACTGCCTGTGGGATAACTTTGAGCCAGTCATATCTTTCAACCCTCACAGCAATTTTTTTTTTTACTGTGTGGTAATCACTACCGCCACCACAACTCTTTTCAGGAGGAAACATTCTTCAGATGCTTTGCCTAATTAGAATCCTCCAAATCTGCATTTCACTTTCGGTGACATGTCTGCAGATTGGTTTCTGAAATTAAAGGGAAGGGTTTTAGGATTCTGCGCATGGTTTTCAGAATACTCTAATCCAGTGTTTTTCAACCTCAGCCACTTTAAGATGGATGGACTTCAACTCCCAGAATTCCCCAGCCAGCCCTGCTGGGGAATTCTGGGAGTTGAAGTCCACCCATCTTAAAGTGGCTGAGGTTGAGAAACACTGATCTAATCTGATTTAGGAATGTTTAGTGGGATTCAGTTCTTGTCATTTCCCGCTTTTGAGCTCCAAGAATTTCCAGCCAGATTAGTCTGCACACATTTGGAAGAGTTTAGGCTTCCAAGATAACCATATTCTGTCAGATTGCAATTACACACGCACGCACGCACACACACACATGCGCACACTTTATAGTGAAGAAGAAGATATTTCTTTTCAGTTCTGTATCCAAGTGAGGGGAATGTAAATCTGTCATAAAATCATAGAACTGTAGAGCCGGAAGAGACCACCAGGATTCTCCCGGTCAACCTTCTGCCGCGTGCAGAAGAACCAAGGGAGGTGGCTGCGTAATATGAAATTTTGTGTTACACCAGTACAGTGAGATTATTAACCCCACATTGGGCAGGTTTAGGCTCATAATTCTGTCTCAATGGTTACCCTTGCATGGGCGCTTCCCGCAGAGGGAAGGGCTACTCTGAGAATTCATCCCAGCTCCAGAGATTGCCCGTATAAAAGCGTAACATTGAGAGCTTCCACTACGTGTCTACTATTTATTTATTTATTATTAAATTTCTATGTCGCCCATCTCCCCCAGAGGGTGACTCTGGGTGGCTTACAATTAAAAACCAAGACAATAAAAACAATAAAAATATAAACACCCCCCCCCCGATTAAAACACAAATAACAAATCTATAAAAGCAATAGACAGATAACTGTTTAATATTGATACACGCCTTTGCAAATGGCCCCATTGATTTTGGCCAGATAGGTAGACTTTCAATTAAGGTCAAATAAATACAGTATGCTACATATGTAATTGCATCTGTTCTCCAGCCACTAAGTTCCTGGGTCCAATTCAAAAGGACGGTTTGACTTTAACATCCTGAATGATGTGATCTCCTCCAGGTGGAATCTGCCTGGTCCATATGTATAGCAGGAAAGGGTGTCCTGTGGGCCTGTCCGTACAGTAATTCAGGGGGGAGTGGGCCTGAAGGCTGTCCTTCTCGGTGGTGCCCCTGTGGTCTGGAACATCTCGCCCCAGTGGTTTGCTGGCACCTTCCGTTCTGTCCTTCTGCAAGTTGGTGAAAACGTGTCTCGTTTAAGCAACTTTTGGGGTTCAGTAGGTTGGCTGATTGCGTGAGCAGCTATTTTTGTTCAGTATCAGTTTGATGGATTCCTATATTTTCTATCACCTTCAGGAGCCATGACTGGGCTGGGCAGTATAAAAATGCTGTCTGTAAAATAAATATGTGTTGTAACTTTGCTGGAACTGGCCAAGCTCATGACGATTCTCCTGTTTTTTGTTTTTTTTTTCCTTTTTCCCATATCAGAACAATTCTTCTTAGCGTGATCTCACTCCTCAATGAACCAAACACATTCTCTCCTGCAAACGTTGATGCTTCGGTGATGTACAGAAAGTGGAAAGAAAGCAAAGGGAAGGATCAGGAATACACAGACATCATCAGGTTGGTGGACTGCCCAGCTTTGGGAATGAACTGGTCTCCCTGGATTTATCCTAGTCCTGCAGCTACTACACTGTGCATACCTACAGCTGTCTCTGCTCACAGATACTGGCCCAGTTCATACTGTGCCACGCTGTGACTTTTGTCAGTGATGGTACACTGAATAAGCCATGGTTGGCTCAGTGCCAAGTAATCCATAAATCCTGGATTACAAACCACAGTGTCTTATTCACGCAACATACTAAACCACACACAAGCAAACATCTGTGGCTTAGCATGATTTTTTTTCCTAGCCTTCCACCCCCCTGTGGCCTGATGTTCGTTAAACTCCATTTCCATATTCTGCCAACTTGAAGGCTGGAGGGATGGCACTTGTCCCACTGCAACTAGGAAACCCTGTTCAGAAAACATGCTCCATGACCCCAAGCCCTTGCTCTTTCAGGCAGATAGTTTCGCCTTCCTGGAATAAAATTCAGATGACTTTTCAAGCTGGGATCTTGGTGCTACCTTGGGTTAGAGGTGGTTTCTGGTCAACTAACCAAGTTTACAGTCCTCATGGACTGACTGGGGTGAGGGGGTTGCCATTATGCCCTTGCGGCAGCCAGTCAAACTGTTGCAACCTGAGCAAATTGCAAATCAGGTAGCTGGAGCTTAGCAGGGACAACAAAAAGGTAGAGCCACCACTAAGCCAGAAGATACGCCACCGTCTTATGTCAGAGCATCAGATCTTCTCTAGCCTTGCGCAAATGAGCTTTTCCTCCCCCTTCCAGGAAACAGGTCCTGGGAACCAAGGTGGATGCCGAAAGGGACGGAGTCAAAGTCCCTACGACGCTAGCGGAGTATTGCGTCAAGACCAAGACACCCGCTCCGGATGAAGGCTCTGACCTCTTCTACGACGACTACTACGAAGACGACGAGATGGACGACGAAGTGGAAAGCTGCTACGGCGACGAGGATGACTCCGGGAACGAGGAGTCTTGACGAGAGATGCCCTGCCCTGCCCCCTCCTCCCTTTCCTCACCCCCCCAGCCCCCTCCCTCCACCGCTGCCTCCTGCTGCTGCGCCTGATAGTAGCAATAAACTACCTGACTCATACTTGAACCCCGGATGCAACCGGCTGAGACATGGAACCCCGTTTGGCCCCGAGACAAAAAGAAACCAAAAACTCTACCTCAGAAGGGAGACTCGGCTTCTGCTTGACTGGGGGAGGGGGTGGGGAATCTCCGATTTGGCTTCAAGGGCTGGGTGTTTGGGCTTCATTTTTTTTTTAATTTTTGTTTTGTTGGAGGGAGGGGGTGGATGGAAGCGACTCCTGATCCATCCGGAGCTGTTACTCCTGCAGTCTGGCGGGTAGCTCTGTGTCCTTTAAGACCAGCGCCAACGAGGTGGCTGGTTCCTTCAGGAGGCAGGAACTGGGTGCGAGGTTTGGGATGGCTTTCATGATGTTGGTTTTCTGTTTTCCTTAAAAAAAAATTAGGCCAAGGGATTTGGGGATAATTTCTAGCCAGGGTTTCCTAGCTGTACCAGACGGGTAGGGGGGAGGCCCTGGGGACAGCCTTGGGCAGACTGTGATTCTGCCGCAAAGGCAGGTGTTGTGTAGTGGGTATTTCCCTCTTGCTCACTCTGGAGACAGGGCTGCAAAGTCTCCTGATGTTTGTTCCATGGGAGAAGAGGACTCCCTTCCTTAGTTCCAGCCCCACCTCGCTCCGGAGCATAGGTGTGTCGGCTCAGGTACCCCGCCAACCTTCCGCTTGACCAAGGTCGCCTCAATTGTAGATGATCGACTTTCTTTTCCTTTCCTTTGCTTGACTTTCAGCTTCCTTTTTGGGAGCCCCCAACCTCTTGGCCAGCAAACGAACAGGGAGCAGGGCACTGCTCTGGGATTCCTGGAGCTTTCCAGTGACAGGGAGTGAATGAGGGGGTTGGCTGTCAGTTGCACAGTGTTGCGCATTCTCACTCTACCCTTGAGGATACAGCTAAAATAGTTCTCAAATCACCAGCCACGAGCCATGCGCCTCAACCCCTAGAGAGCTCATTGCTGGATGGCACAGGCACTGGAGTGGACAGAAGGCAGTGGTACAGGATGCGCTCCAGCTTCTTCACCAGCTTCACTAGATAATATCTCCTCCTGAAGCCTCAGTCCCTCCCCTCCTTTTCTAGAGACCTCAGGCAAAAGCCATGGAGCTCCTTAGCAGGCCACAGCTCTGAGCAGGCCCACACCTACAACCAAGTATCCACATTTGGGTCCCTCCTGCCAGGCAACCAGGACAAACTATGAGGGGAGGCATGGAAGGCGAAGTGGTCTTGGTCCCTCCTCCTCCTCCTCCTCCTCCTCCTCCTCCTCCTCCTCCGGGGATTCCTCTTCTGAACCCCGTTGTAGAGAGCAAAGACTAGGCCACTTTCACAGGTGGAAAAGACAAGATGCTGATGGAAGAGAGATGCTCTGTCCAACTTGGATGTCTGTCCTTGAATCCAGAGAGGGAAGATGAAGAGTAGATTAACAAGACCAGTAGCCGATCCTTGGATCCATCAGATGCTCCAAAAAGCAGATGTTCCACAACTGCTCAGGAAAATCTGCAGGACCCTAGCTCTGAAAGACCCAAGACTCCCTGATAGACCTACTGGTGGCAGAGGTTTATACTGTAGCTGAAAACAGCCCACTCACCCACCCACTTTTGACGCTGAGCTGGCTGCATCCTGCCCACCAAACTTCATGCCTTCCATCAGCAAGCTCTAGACCTGTTCAACTCCTCTCTAGTGGGCAGAGATCCTGCAGAGCGGAGCACATGGCCCTAGCCGTAATCACAAAGGCCACCTCAGTATCTACCAGGACTGCCATCTGGACAAAAGAACTGGCTCACCTCATCCCTCCAGAGTATAGGGAACTCAGATGGGATGAACAAGCTAGATGAGACCACCATCATAGCTGCTGGTCTGAATGCCCAAATCTCAGCCAGAGGACTGGTAGATAGCATAGCCCTAATAGGCAACTATGGCTGAAGATCTGAAGAATTGGAACTTTGCCCTTTGACCTGTTTGAGGAAAACAAGCCATTCCAGAGCCTTCAGGAATGGGAGGCATACAAGTAAAGTAAATCAGTAACAAGTATATGAAGGCAAGGCCAGCAAAACAAACAACGCTTCCCATTCCTTTCGTTGCTACCTCACTCAGAACAGAATCTTGGACTGCAAGTCACAGACTCCTCTGGGAGAGAACCAAGGCCCCAAAACAAGCCACATCAACCCTCACCCAGTTGGAATTCTTCCCAGGAGAAGGAAGGAGCAATGACTGTCTCAGCCTCTCTGTGGATGGGAGGACCTGTGGATTCAACATCAGATTCATGGTACCTAAAGACAGTCTTGCATAGTTCCACCATCAAATTTTTCTGGCCCCAGAAGGCTGCTTCACCTCTTTCTCCAAGTCACACAAAGTGGCTAAATGCTGGCTAGTCCTGAGGGCCATAAATCACCTTCAAAGCATCAAAGTCCCATGTGGCAACTGATTATCTGGTTCCTGCTCCATATTCATCCTCAAGAAGAAAAAGGAACGGCATGTCATCCTGGACCTCGAGGGAGTGAACAGCTAGAACAAATACTCTTAAGTTCTGGGTGGAATGAGATCCTTTGCAGAGACACCAGGAAAAAGAAACACCTTGGCTTATAGGAGCCTTATCTACACACTCTAATCCAGCCGTCGCACAAGAATTTGCTTGGGTCCAAGAGCCAAGATGGCTGTTGCCAATTCAAGGCCCTCACACTTAGTCTTACCCATGTGTTGGTGACTGTTGTAGTCGTCAGATTGCAGGGGATATGTGTGTACTCCAATCTATATGATCTGGTTATTTAATCATCTTGAGGCACATTTGGTGTATTGCACCAGGGAGTGATTTTCCCTTTCTTTTGTGCCAGTCCCAAGAACAGGGACTGACTCAGTGTGATATTAGGTGAACTATCAAAATGTACCTGAGCAGGAATTCGGTATTTTGGACAGTTTCCTAGTTTCCTATCAGCAGCCACAACTGAGCCACAAAGCCTTCCTGATCATGATCTTCAGGGGGATCAAGCTAGTCTACAAGACTCAAGAGTAGTAGGTTCTTCAATAGCCCACAAGAGATTGTAGGCTGTTCTAGGAATGCAGCCACCTCAGTTGCCCTCAACACTAATGTCCCCCAAGGAAAATCTGTAGGGCTCCCATGCGGTAACGCCGTGACTTACAGAAGTAGCTGTTGCACCTTGCTTGAAGTCTCTCAGCAGGAAGTCACTGCAGAAAATAGTGCCCAGCAAGAGGTAGGACATCCTAGGAAATAGGATCCCACCTCTGCTGTGTTCTATTATTCAGTGCCATGGCTCCATTGTGAGAAAATCTCACACCAGACTTAGCCATGAAGGTTCTTTCTACAGTGGAAAAAAAAAGGGGGGGGGACTTGCCAGCACCAGCAAGTTGTACGGAATCTAATATCTCTCTTCTGTATTCCTACTTTTTCAAGTTTTATTTCTTTGAGCATTCTTCTGGCTTGTCCCTCCCATAGGACTTGATGTCCATTTTTTCGAGCCTTGTCTCTTGGGCGAACAGGAGGGAAATGCCCATTTCAAAATGTCCTATCTCTGCAGTAGAAAAAGGACCTTCCTCTAAATCCAACGTACTGTTCTCCTTTTCACAAGCAAATAATTGGGGAATCTTTTTTATTTATTTATTTTTACTGGTCACCCACTGAGCACTGAAAGCAAATCCACTCTGCTTGCCTTTGACTTCGCTTTCCTGTTTTGCGAGATTATGCCCCTTTTTGGGGCGTGGATTTTGCTAGAGTTTGCACCTCGGGGGCTAATAGGAAGCAATGGGAGTTGATGGGCAGAAATTGACTGTTTTGTAGAATTGGTGGGGAAATGGGAGGGGGGAAATGGGTTGGCAGGGGGTGGGATATATATATTTTGCTTTTTTCTGTTGTGTTTTTCTGGTTTTGAAGCTATTTAATAAAAGGATTTTGAAAGGAAATGTTGTATCATGTTCGGCGGCATTGCCAGATTGCATCCTCTTTGCCGGAATGTGAGGGTGACCTTGGAAAACGGGGCGGGGGGAGAGATGCCGCCTGGGGGACGATCAGATAAAAGAGAAAGGAGTCCCAACAGAGTTATGGCCAGGGAAAGAAACTTAGGAAGAACCCACACTAACTACTCGGGCGGTAAATAGGGAGGGAGGGAGGGAGG